GATGGATGTTCTCCCCGGGGTGGGATGGGTGGGTTAATAGAGGGCTACAGGATTATCGGTTTAACTACTAGTTAAAGGTCAGTTTGGTATACTTCATGAGTGACTCTGTTTCTCTAAATTATTTTTCTTCGTGATAGATTGAAGAAAGAGGGTTCCATCTTCTACCAGAATGTTGGTTTTAAAAAGTACATTTAGTTCACTTAAATTGTAGCACATGCAGGGTCTGAATGCTGCAGACAGAGTATATAATATGCAATTTTTCTTTCTCGAAACAGTCACTTCAGTCCACTTAGTGTCCATGGGGATGGGCAATGGCAAAAGCCTTATTTTTATAACTAGCCATTTCTGGAGAGCAAGGGACTCCTGGATTGTCTCTGAGGTTGCAAATAACCTACAGCTACAGATTTTTGGCAATTGTGCAATTTGTTTTTAATGACCTAATAGTATTGTACATGTGTAAAGAAAGATTTAGAAAAGAAAGATTTAGGGTTATTATATATCCCACTTCACAGATATTGCAGGAGATGTGATTAATATAACCATTGTCATCACAAGTCAAAACTGCACGGATGAAAAATACAACAAATCCTTGTTACTGAGGAAATTGGAAGAAGAGGTAACTATACAGTCTTTAATGAAATATTGTTAATGCTCAGTTAATTATTCAATATCTTTAAATTTGTTATTTGTTAGTTCAGGGTCAGAGACTGGTGTGCCGACTGTATAATTAATGAAAAAGAAATTCGGCCTCTGGAAAGTGTGTGGAGAATGTTTTGTTTAATTCTACTGTGTTTCTTAAATTTATTGATTGCACTCAGTCCGTCAGACTTTGTCAAATTTTAAGCTTGAAGAGCTTTTCACAATCGTCTTATTGTTTAGTGTTTGCTTGTGCTCGGTATTTAGGGGAATAATTGGCCTAGTGCTTTTAAGCCACAAATAAAATACGATTGAAGCAAGTGACTAGTAGAAGAACAATTTCTTACTGAAGTCACACTTTGAAAGAAACGAACTGATTAATACTATGATAGACTTATTTTCGCCTGAGTCACACCAGAACAACTATACCCAATTTTATTTTAGGTGGTACGTGATATTTAATATCACCATCATTATTTTGTACTTACGTAGGTGCACATGCATAATACCTGTGTGTCACATATACAGTAACATTTTTAGACAAATACATGTAATTGAAATGTTTACTTGCAGCTTAAAAGGGTATTTGCTGGTAAACTTGATTATGAAAGACTGCAGTCAATGAGTGTTAGGTATGTAAATTATTAGGTTCAAGATGTTTTCAAATTGCTCCCGTTTTTCTGGGGTTTTTAGTTGTTGTTGTTGTTGTTGTCTGTTTTCCATTTCATTTCGCACTCTAACTCTCAGTTGTTGTCGGTTCTAAGGTGTGGAAGTATAATTGTTGACCTTGCACTGAGATTCAACTCCACTACAAAGGAACGAGATGTTATCATAACACTTAATGACGCTGTTAAAAATGGCAAGCTGGGAGAGTTCAATGTTGGTGCTATAAAAGGAAAAAGGCCTGATGTGGAACCATCAGGTGGAGGTGGTGCCGCTGATGTGGAACCATCAGGTGGAGTTACCACATCACCACCTGAGGGGCCCTCTGGTGGTAAGTCTTCATAACACTTCATTTAATAGTTGTGCAAGTTGCTAAAATTAATGATTGACTTTGCCCTGTGCTTGGTTGGAAGCAAAGTTTTTGGTGAGAAAAATATGTCTTTCAAAGTTGCTATTGTTGCACTGTTGAATGGAATGGTAAACTATCTACTTAAGGATTATACTTTCATTCAGAACCAATTGTCCACTGCAACCCTTACTGACCATCTCAATTAAAAAAAAAAAAAAAACATTCCCTTGTCAAAAATGAAACTCAGCCCATAGGAGGCTCGACCTCATTAATTGGTTTGTAAAGATACGCTGGTATTTCCAAAAATTTATCTTAAGCTTATCACGCCATGTAGGTTTCGCGGTAAGTGTTATTGTTGGTGCAGCGTTAGGATCGTGTGTTGCCCTGGCTGTTGCTGGAATATTAGTGTGGTGGGCGTGCAGGAAAAGGAGGCGCAACAGAAAAGGCACTGAAGGTAACTGTTGCTCTCAACTAGTTTTGGAATGCCAAAAATAGCTCTTCAACATTTTTTTTTTTTTTTCTAATACTAATCATTAGCTTCAATTCACTATCCACTGTCCTATGATCTTTGTTTAAACATCCTTTTTTTTAATAGATAACCTCTAAAAAAAACCGATAGCTATTTTGCTATAAGCTAGGTCTAGTATAGAGAAGGCGCTTGACGTTGTCCACTAGAAGACTCAACTCGATGTGCATAAACAGACTTTACTTTGGTTTTATACGATAAATTCTTCTTGATTTCGGTTATTAATGACTATTTTTTGTTTTGATTTGCTTTGCTTCGTTCTATTTTTTAAGTGTTTTGCTTTTTTTCTTTCTTTTCCACTACAGAGGTGGCGAGGAGCGGAAAGTGAGATGTCTTTTGTTGTTTACTTGCGTTGTTTCTCTATGGCTCGATCTTTTTAACAATTTAAACACCCATTTTGTTTTTCCTGTGAATGTGTCTGATTGATCCAAAAATGATAGATCCTGTAGAACACTTGAGGTGCACGTTTTAGATATAGGATGTAATGATTGCTTCTGGTGAAATAATCAACGTCGTAACGATCTATAGAAACAGTCACGCCATCCGCCAATTTGACCGGCCAATTTCAGTTGAAAACTGTCGTACCAGCTTTTTTTCGTCAATTGAAAGTGACATTGTGTAACAAGGAAGCTGGCAAGTAGCAACAGAAGAACCAAACAAAGGTCTATTACATGACAAGCGCCGAAATTGACCTCACTATAACGTGACCCAAGACGCAAATTACCAAAGAAAAAAAGAAATGGACTGTCCGAGGTTTCAAGCGAGCCTCTGAAATTATATTGTCCTTCCTTCGAGTGAACAACTAAGAGCTTGCTCTGATACCCTTTACGATGTTTTGAGTGGAAAGCCACATCAGTTAAAGGAGCCGAGTCACCCCGAGGAATCTTCATGTTCCTGCCAATTCGGCTGCCGTTTATTCATTAAACACACGCTTTGAACAGTTTGTTTCCCAATTGTCCTGTGAAAAACTTTTGTATTTTTATAAGACAAGTCAGCTGCATTTCACTTAAAATTTCACTTTCCTTTTCTTCTTGATTTCTGTTTTACAACTCAAAAAAATACCAGCGAAAGTGTTGAATTCGACCTGCCGGACCATTGCAGGTAGTGATTCATTGATGGATTGTGAACTTTGATGGTTTGAAATTTTCGACAGCTTTGGTTTATTAAACCAACCTCATTATTTTAATCATTTTAAAAAGGATTGTGATTGGCTTATTTCAGTGTGTTTTATGAGTGTAAAACATACTGAAAACACTTCTGTTCGCCTCGAAAAATTATCATTCGATTTGAGAATTGAAAGTAATAAGTAGAGAATTAGACGGATTCTTTATAATGAAACAAATAAAGAAGCCTTGACTATATTCTGTTCTGTTGTAAAGCGCCAAGGAAGCGGCAAGTCTACTCCGCTCATAAGCAGTAATTGATTTGAACGTGGGGGTAACATGTGATAATGTAGTTTGATTGTTCGGGTGAGTGTAGTCCTAAGAGCTACTGTTGTCGGTGTTGGTGACTGACGTATCGACAACCTAAGCGGAACTCATCATCAAAGTCAAGGGAATAGTTGTGGTCAGTTGAGTCAGTCCAGTCCGAACCACACTTATAACTGGGACTCTGTGCAATGCCTAAGCTGCAGTATTAACCACTTTCAACGACTGACTCTAGAAAGCTAGTGTACTAACTTAGAAGAGACTTTCTTCAACAGGTGCCTTCTTCTGCCGGCACCAGACAAAATGCCTTATTCACGACATTAACATTACAAACGAACCGAATGGAACAGGTTGTCGTCAGTCAACACCACCGACAATAGTCCTACTCAGGACGGCACTCACCCGGACGATCAGACCACGCTGTCATCTGCTTACGGAAGTCTGGCAGCAGCCGTGCCTACTTCCGGTTTCAAGCTGCTTTTTTTCAACTGGACTGAGCCTTCTGGAAAGATTTTCTGTTATTTTTTAATTTTCAGGCAGATGGGAATTGGTTTTGTTTTGTAATATAGATGTGTTTTTGTTTCAGAACATTTGGAAATTCAAGTAATGAAAGGAGAGAGACTACAAGAGTAGGTCAAGTCGATTATTTCTTAATAATTTCATATAAGTCAAGTATAATCTAGTTTCGTTTCCATAAGACAACTGGTGTGAAGATTCGAAACTGTTTTCAAGCTGTTGTTGAGTTGAAAACAATTTTGTCTCCAAGAGTATCGTCGAAATGCGAAAACCTTCTCAAAGCTATTACATGGCACTAGACGACCGAACTCGTTTACAATCGACGGCGGATGCCAGCCCAATCAGCAGTGAAGAAGTCAGCAAGTACGCTTCTCTTAATCTATGCACACGCTCCTGGGAGATTGCTAGAGAAGATGTGACCATAAAGCAGATCGTTGGAAAAGGTGCTTTTGGTCAGGTTGCCAAGGCAACAGCCGCTAACTTACAAGGAAGAGCCGAGAAGACACTCGTAGCTGTTAAACTGTTGAAAGGTACCAAGTAGTAATGAAATCATGTTGTACAGACTCAGAATTCTGTCCGAATTTTTCTGTTTCCGTGCAATTTTTTTTGTTTCGTCTTATAGCGTACGTTTTTGCTTATTCTCCAAGTTCCTGTTTAGAGTAATCACATTATGTAGGACTAGTTCACAGATATCTCCATAGGATGACGCAGTCAACAATAAATCTCTTATTTTGTTGTTGTTCATGTAGCGATGCAGTTTTAAGATGCAATGTAAACATTCACCTTCAAAAGATGGTTACAATTTAAAACCTAGGCACTTTACGTTGACGAAGAAAAGCACCTCAAATATGATGTATGATAGAGCTGAATGATATCTATTTATCTATCTATCTATCCACCTACCTACCTACTTACCTATCTATCAATCTATTTGTCTCTATCTGTCTGTTTATAAATACATCGATCTTTCTCTCTCTTTCTATCTACTGTATTTCTTTGTCTCTACATTTATCACACTATTTACCTGTCTACTTGTCTATCCGGTCATCTTGCTATTGATCTATCTCTTTATGTCTACCTATATTTATGGTACACTTAAATGATATGATTGTGATTCTATGTGAAATGTTATTTGACGATGATTGATCTGAAATCATATTGCAGAAAACGCTTCTGAAGCAGAGAGAAAAGATTTGCTATCTGAACTTGAATTGATGAAACAACTTCAACCTCATCCTTACGTCATCAAACTTCTTGGATGCGTTACCAAATCTGGTAAATCCTGAAATGTGCTTCATCAGCTATGATTAATGTCAGCAAATAAGGTTTTACAAGTATCACTATTTTGGCTCTTCAGCTTTAGATATCTTTCTTTTTAATTTATATAGTACTTACTTGTCCTTTACTTATTTAAGGCAGGTACTATTGCTCTGTAAAATAAGAGACCAGCCATACTCTTAACATACTTAACATGGAAAACATACTTATCACTATGAGTACGAATTAACTTAGCTGAATGGGTACGAATTGACCTAGCAGAGTACGAAACGACCAGTAACCTTAAAACGCTACATTAAAATTGACGTAAGTGCGCCATGCAGACCTCTGGGATTGAGGTGCATGAAGAGCAGGGACTCTACCTTTCGGCACCTCACACTCAGAGTTCAACACAGTGCTCTTGGTTAAACTAGTTTAACTATTGGGAGAATCTGCTAAACCATGCATAAAGTTTGACCTTATTCTATTCTTGTGAGTAAGCATGAACTCTGAGTATGGCTCATCTGACGGTAGAGAAATGGTCACAGTTTTATAATTTCTGCTAAATAGCAGCGTGTATTTAATCAAACCACACGAATCTGACGTCACAGCAGCTGATGAAGTTTGCTTGGCAAATCGCTGATGGAATGTCCTATTTGTCATCGATACCAGTGAGTGATGTAATTATTCTTTGTGTGACTTCGTTACAGAATAAGGAGCCGTACTTCACATTTTGATCACTCGTGGACTCATTGCCGAGGATGACATCCCGTGCCAGCTCAGGTACCCTCATCTCTCGTTTCGTTAGAGGGCGTTTTCAAAAGTAACGTTTTTTCTTTGCTGAAGGTTATTCATCGAGATCTTGCAGCTCGTAATGTGTTGGTTGGGGGAGAAGAAACGTGCAAAGTGACGGACTTTGGAATGGCCAGAGATGTGCAAGAGGACAACATCTACGAAAGGAAAACCAGGGTATGAATGATTCACTTCAAGAGAAAGAATAAATGTTCTTGTGGATTATGTGGCTGAAGATGCTTCGCTAGCGTGACTACTCAAAGAAAACAAGCTTAGTAAATCCTGTTCAGTTTACTGGAAATTTGTTGCTTTGTTCTCGCCATCTGAGGCATTGGTATTTTCTATGGTCTAAGCCAACTCCTAGTAATTCTGCTCCTTTTTTAGGGGCGTCTCCCTGTAAAATGGACTGCAATTGAGGCGTTGCTTTACGGAAAATATTCTACAAAGAGTGATGTGTGAGTACAAAGACGGCATAATACTGTAATTAAGCTCAACGAGAATGGTTTTGTATGAACTGTTTTCAGGTCTGAGAAAAGTTCTTGGGTTACTTCTGTATTTTGGTCTTTGTATTTTTGTTGAAGAGAAGACAGCTTCCCTGGCGTGGTTTGTGTATTTTAAAAGATGTTAGTTCCACGGGCAGTTGGTAACGAAACGAAAAAATCGTTACTTTCCTAAAACATATCTTTGACTTCCTGCCATTCTTCTTGAAATTGCTCCATCTCTGAAAGTCGTGTAAACTTCCTTAAAGGCCTCGGCGAAGATTGCTGTTGTCTCCAAAGTTGACCATGAAGACACTGTAAACCATCTTTTAGGTTAAAATAAACAAAAACCACCAACGTTAGCTAATCATAATTCACGAAACAATGAACCAAACAGTTAACTAATAAAAAGTTAAAAGTTATTATATATTTTCATTCAAAAGAGTGACGTTTCGTCCCTTCCGTTTCTCCTTGGGGTAGGGAGTACGACTTTTTTTTACACGTAGGCTAACCAGGGATCAACAAGGATGACCTTTTTACCGTGTTCCTCCCCACCTCCCCTTCCCACCCAAGACGTTTAAATTATATTTTTTTTGCAGGCAAGTAATTTCATATCCTTAAATTGATCGCGTTTGTTTTTCAGTTGGAGCTATGGAGTTCTCCTCTATGAGATTTTCACGATTGGTGAGTTACAAGGCTGATTATTTCAGCCTCAATAGTTAAGGCGACATGAAGTCATTAAGTAAGCAGTGTGTACCAGTCTGCAGAATTTGAGGAGATAAATTGCGTGAGGTAATAACGTAAGTTGGCCACTGCAATAACTTTTACAGCTGATGTTTGAAGCGTCGGCCCCTCGTCATTTGTTCTTATAAAGGGCTAACGCTCGAAACTTCAGCTTTGAAACTCTTTACGGTGGCCAATTTACATGATCGACTCAGTTCATAAACCAAGTTATCTTGTTGTACTCCCTTACCGATGCAGCGCCATGGTGTCTTTAGCAACTTACCGCCCTAATTCATCTTTAGAATTTGGTATTGGTCATACCAAGCCAGTTGGGATTGCCACAATCGGTGGTCTTGGATGAAAAAAACTTTAAATGGTACAAGAATGGTAGCGTTGTGTGGAAATAGAAAAACATATGTAGAGCCTTTCATTGTAGAATGTGTTAACACTAGCTGCTCTAATTCAGGCGGTTCACCGTATCCACGAATGGATGGAAGAAAAATTGCAAACTTACTTCAAGAGGGATACAGAATGCCTAAACCAAAACATGTGGATGATAAGTTGTATGTTGATATCGTGTTCCCTTTTTTTTTTTTTTTTTTTTTTTTCTAATGGCTTTTCTCTTACATAAGTATTTGTCCTGCTTTTGTTCGAGTTGTTATGTGCCTCATTATTTCCCTGTTTTTCCTTGTTGATCCAGCTTAACTAAGAGAAGTGTAAGGGGAGGTTCATTATCAGGTGGTATATGTATGGATCATTTGTCTTTTATGAAAAAAATTTGGAATTTTTAAACTAAAAAGCTTGTTCATCAAGGATAGGCCAAGCTGTTTCTAATTAAACTTTTCCTTCGTCGCAGCATTTATTCGCGTTAAAGACGCTACAGCCTAGGCCTAGGCCACCAACGACATACTAAGAAATTGAGGATTTCCTTGTGATTTAGGTATGGCATTATGACAAAATGTTGGAAAGCCGACCCTAACTTCAGACCATCTTTTGCAAATTTGAGGGAAGAAATAAAAGAAATGGAAAACCAGCACAAGGTAGAATTGTAGAGTTTACAAAGACACTTCCTCTGGTATTGTTATTTTCAAAGTTTGATTGTTAGAATCTACCCCCATAAAATAAACTTCATTGATAACTGCGGTCAACCATGAAGGCCTCGAAGCGTAGTTTATGATATCAATTTATTTCACCTTTAGAGCAATTTTCAATTGAGTATACAGTGTGCTCCAGAGTTGCTTTTGGTTTTAGTTACTCTCCTCTGTCATTGGTCTATCAAATTCATGCCACCATTCCAACCAATCAAATGCAAAACTACAACCAACCAAGGCTTGATCACACACGTTTTCCCGCGCTTCAAGCGGCCGGATCACCTGATTTTACTTTGAGTTCTCGTTGGTTAATAATGATGTTAACCTTTGTTCTGATGAATAGTTTACAATGGATGTTGTAAAAAAAGCTCCTCTCTTTCTTGATTAAAAGAAAAAATAAGGAGCCATCGAAAAATTAACAGAGTATAGAATAATTTATACCCATATCTTTCCATAATATTGTTTTCTCACATTTCTTTTTTTTCCTACAGGGTTTGATAAATTTAAAAAGTTACGACGATCGACTCTACGTTAATGTTGACGATCTAGCCGAGTAAGCGAGTGAATTCTTAAACAGGAAAGGATTGAGTACTGAATATTGCAGCCCTATGAGATCTTATATATTTCACATTAACCCATATTTTTGGTGATAAAGCAACTTTTCAAAATAAATAATAAATAATAATAATAATGAATAAATAAATAATTTAGCAATGGACATTCCACTAGGTGGCTCTTCTTGTCCACTGTTTCCAGATCGAATTGGAATTTGGAATGTTGGTTTTTGCGGAGGGGGGAAAACCGGAGGATACGGAGAAAAACCCTCGGAGCAAGGACGAGAACCAACAACAAACTCAACCCACATGTGACGCCAGGTCCGGGAATCGAACCCGGGCCACAGTGGTGGGAGGCGAGTGCTCTCACCACTGCGCCATCCCTGTACAACAGTAAAGCGAGGCGAAGTGCAACATTTCGTATAATTATTTTGATATATATTTTAAGCTTTAAGTCTTGAAAAGACGAACGATGTTTTATAAACGAGTTTAAAAAGCTCCAACCCAAATTTTTCCCTTCGTGTTATCGCTTTTTAGTATAATTGCTGCGGTGATTGTAGAGATGCGCGTGTTCTGATTGGTTAAGGATTGCGTCATATCTCGCTTAAACCACCACGCGCGAGGTAAATTTCAAAATGGCTACCTCGCGTTTTGTCGATGTTACGCAGGAAGAGATAAACGCGATAGAAGAAAATACAACTCTGAAGAGCACAAAGTATGCTGAAAAGTTTGACGTGACGCCTTTCAAAAGAGTGCTAGAAAGCTTTTGTTGTACTAATAAAATGAGCCTGTTAAATTCTAGGAGAAACTTGCTGCTCATCTCGATACGAGTAATGCAAACAAGTATAACAGAATTTATTTTTTTTTAATTTACAAAACGAATTTACAACAGAATTCGAAAGCACCTGAGCAGCAATTGTACGAAAACGGGCATTCCCCTTGGGCTCAGTAAAGAGTGTTGAGTAATCCCCTCGATTTGGTCTCAGGGATTATTCAACAATTCCCTCTTCACCTTCCGCAAATAATTGTCAAATGTAAGTTTTTTTAGACGAAACATGTATTTTCTTTTAAACTGTGCTTTCAAATCTAAGCAATAAATATCCCAATGCTTTTTTACAAGGCGTGGTAACTGTGTTAGAAATTCAAATTTCTAAGATATTCATGAAAGTGGTAAAACTCATCATCTGAGATCCACGTGGGGTTCGATATTCAGAAGTAAGAAGCACTTATTGGGGGGGGGAGGGGGGTATCGACTCTCTTGGGTCTGCATAGTTCTCCTGTAAAGATGAATTTGTCAGCTAGTCATCTCCACGCCTTACTTACACACTTAGACAATTTCACGTGACAAGTAACGATAAACGGGACTTCTGAAACTCCACGACTGTTTACTGGCCCTTCAAACATGCAAATCTGTCCGAATCTCAGACGTTTTCATCCCACTACACTCGCAAATGCATAGTACCACAGTATTTGTGGATATCGGTTTGGGCCTCTAAATTTTGGGTCTCAAACCCATTAATTCTAGGCTGCGAGCCTTCATTTCCCGACTTTAAAACTTGTGGATCTCAAAACTAATAACCTTTTTTGAATTGATGCGGATCATCTGATGCATTCACGAGTTGTGCGATTCGTACTATCCGCACTGACCAGAACAAGAATTATTATAACCAAACTATTAAAACTGTTAAAATTGATACAAATCATGATTGTGTCTGAGCCACTATGGTCGTGCAGAGGTGCATCGCGGGTGGCTCATCAAGGGCATCTCCAATCATCGCAGTGAAGCAAACCTCGCACATTACAACGTCCACCCTTTGAGTGAACAACTAAGAGCTTGCTCTGATATCCTGTAATGCGTTGAGTGGAAGGCCACACCAGTCCTTTTTACGGCGCTGTCATCGCGACCAATCTTCATGTTTCTGTGAATCCAGCTAGCTGTTGTTGAGCAGTTTGTTTTCTAATTT